TTGAAAAACAAGGAACTCATGCAATATTATTCAAAATGGGTGACCCTGGAGGACATCATGCTGAGTGAAATATCTCAGTCACAAAAGGACAAATATTGCATGTTGCCACTGACATCAGGATTGGGTTGAGACTGAGAAAAATTGGATAAATTATGTATACTGCTTTGAAACAGATGAGGGAGAGAACTGTTTAAAAAGGATATATGATTGAGTAGTATGGTTATGACAGAGTCCAGAATGAAGGTTGCATAGCAGAATGTACTTGGGGCGGGGGGAGGAGGAGGATTCTATAACAATGAAAGAATTTTCCTTTTACTTTTAAAGAGAAGAGCGAATTGGGGCAGAGGAGTGGGCAGGGAGAAAAATGCAACAATGAATGAATGGAAATCCAAAATCTAGTTAAACTTACATTAAAATAAAAAAAATTATTTTATTTATTTACTTTTTATGTGTGTTTACCATCAAATCGGATCTGACTGGTACAGGAGGAGATTGCCTCCTTTTCCCCCCATGTAACAGATTTGCAATTTCTACTGCTGAACCTGCTCAATTTAAATGGTGAAAATTACCAATCTCCTTGTGAGCAAACACACTCTATTTGTATGTTCCCACTTAGTCATGTGACAAAGTAAAGATCAATTGCCCTGGAAAGTAGTTTTGAGCAACAGATCTACCAAGTCACAGATACTTATGTGTGTTTTATTTTTTATTCAAAAGCATTTGACTATGTGGAACAAATTATGACTAACATTGAGAAGAAGAATGGAAAACCCAGAACACTTAATTGTGGTCATGTAAAATCTATACCTATTATAAGATACTGCTGTCTAAATAGAACAAGGGAACTCCGCATAGTTTAAAATCAGAAGTGTGCATTAGGGTTGTATCTTTTCTCTAAACCTGTGCAATAAGAGGACAACAAAACAGCTTTCAATTATAGAGGGGGTTGTTGTTGTTGTTGTGTACCATCAAGTCAGAACCGACCCATCGCTGACCCTCCAGCGGGTTTTCAGATTCAATTGTAGGAGAAGAGATTGCCCATCCTTTTCCTGCGAAGCAGCTGATGGATTAGAACAGTGTGCCTTCAGGATTGTGGTACAGCTTCTTGCCACTAGGCCATCAGTGCTCCCTAATAGATGGGGGTAGTCTTAGTTACTGTTAGGTGCCATGAAGTTGACTAGGATTTATAAGGACCCCATGAACGACAGATCTGAAACTTTTCTTATCCTGTGTCATCCTTAGAGTGTCTGATATGCTCAGGCCCATTGTTAGTGATAACAAAAAGAAACAAAAAAATTCAGACTGTTGAGTCAGTTCTGGTTCAGAGCCGCACTCCTTTGTTTTCTGAGGCTGCCATTTATCTCCCACTGAGTGGCATTTGGCCTGAAACCAAAAGAGGTGGAGTCTTTTTGTTAGGAGCACAACATCCTACAGATGTTGGCCACCAGGGCTTCCCAATAGCGATAATGGGTAGTTGGAAAAAAATAAAGAACTCTGGCCACGAAGATAGTGTTTTTTACAGAAAATGAGTTTCTTATCTAGTCTATTGGTCAAAAGAACAGTTTGTTGCATATTCACGTTTAAACACTTAATAGTAACTCATGATTCGTATACCTTGTGTTTTACATAATGAGTAGGTATTGATCAATGCTTTTTTTATTCATGTACAGCTTTATAGACACATATACTTTGTGTTTTATATAATTACTATTTCCCTCCTCCCCTTTTTTACCCCCCCTTCTTCTCTTTCCTTTCCCTTTCTAGTTAAACATATCTTGTTCCTACTTGCTAACTGCGTTAGTCATATGTCAGTTCTTCCCAGGCTGATACTATATGAACGAAGCACAATGTATATGAATATTGCACAAAAACCAATAAGAAAAAGAGACTGACGAGCTATTTACACTGAGCACCAAGTTATTCCACAACAATGACCACTGTAGCTTTTATTTCAGTTAGAATATTCCATAACCTCATAAAACTGTAGAGATTATTAAAGGGGATAATACATATTAAGTACTTGTTTAGAACTTGCTCGGTATTCATTACATCAATAACAATTATTACTCTTTTCAGAAGAAAACAGTAGCATTGACGAAAGATTTCGATCCTTCACGATAAAGGAGGTGGAAACTGAAGTAAGAACGGAACCAGAGGTGGTCGAAAATTGGAATTTAAACTGACAAGGTGACTGGCAGAGCCGCTCTCACGCACAACTTCCCCCGCCTTAGCTCCTGAACTGCCCGCAGGGCCCAGCCAAACCGGGTGCCAGAAAGTAAACACATTGAAAAAGGCGGAGCCGAAGGCGGGCTTGGGATGAGTGGCCACTTAAAAGAGATTGGCAGCTGCCATGTCCACGTGCTTTGAGTCTGGAACCAGCTGTCGCGAGAATTGGATGTAAACAGACCCGTCCCCAGGTTCTCCCGCGCCCCGCTTGAGAATCTCAGGTGAGATGCCCAGAAGTCTGGAGCATGTTAATTTCCTAAAAGAGTCGCTAAGTGCCATCTGCAAAGAAAGCAGGCATGTTCCTAACTTCTTTCCACCTGTCTGACTGCACAACCGAACGTGACAGCTCGGTTTCACCCGAACTTACATACTGTTTTGTTTTCCTCGGAGCCCGAGCTGATTGGTTAAGTTCAAGAGACGGATCCGCCTCTTTTCTTCTTGCTGGTTGGTGAAGCGGACCTTCAAGGGCGGTGCCCGGTTTTAGCCTGTTTGCTTCTGGGATTGGCTACAGTGGTAGTTCCGCTGAGGCGTGGTAGGAAGTGGTGGCCGTCAATCACGGAGGGGAGACTCCAAACGCTGTGCCTAGAGCCGGAGAACAGCGTTTACCGGCGGGCGGCCGGTGAGTAGGCTTGTGGGACTCTCGCTTTGGGGCGACTGGGCAAAAACGAGAGGCTGGCAGCTTGAGGGAAGTGGGCTTGGCTGGCAGGGATTCGATGGGCGAGGAATGTCGATATTGGAAGAGGGCGGGGGAGGGCAAGGGGCCAGAGGGCGGCCGGGGGCAGTGGTGGCTCCGCCGTGGAGGTTAAGTGGGTAATGTTGTGCAAGTGCCTTTCAGGAAAGTCGGGCCTGAGGGGCTCATTCTGAGGGGACAGGGCCTTTAAAAGACAGGATTTGGAAGACTGATTCGGGAAAGAAAGGGTGGAACGTAGATGAGAAGACTGAGTGACTAGAGGTGAACGTGCCTATTGAGGAAGGACTGGTTGGGCTGTTTGGTTTTGTGAAGTGGGTTCTGACTCACACAATGCAACACTACCTGCCATCCTCACGATCAGCTCATTGTTGCAGCCTCTGTGTCTGTCAGTCCATCTCCTTTAGGGTCTTCTTTTTTAGAGACCCTCCATTTTACTAAGTATGATAATTCTTCTCCACTTAGTAGCCCCATCTGATTACATGGCCAGAGTATGTGAGACAGTCTCATTATCCAGATTTCTAAGGAGCACTATGGCTGTATTTTTTCCAAAATAGATTTTTGTTCTGACAGTCTATGATATAGTCAACGTTCATCGCCAACACCATCATTCAGAGGCATCAGTTCTTTGCTCTTCCTTATTGATTGTCTAACTAGCTGGACTAGTTAAAGCAGAAGGTGTTTTGATCATAGGAGATGGGATTTACCAGTTTGAATTTTCAAATGAGGTTAATAGAATGCTGCTTACATGGAAATGATGGTTCCTCCGAACTTTAAAGATAAGTCCCAGGCAGTGGACTTTTATATATGAGAAGATCGTTAGTGATGCGGTAACCCTTTCTCTCTCTCTCTCACTCACCTTTTTGAAAGTCCTCAGTGATTCAGATGTTCTGTAGACATTCAATTATGAGGATTTGGTGTTAAAATTGGAAAGGATAAGAGAGTTCATTTTAGATAAAAGTGATTTGATTTCAGTAACATTGGGTTAAGGCCATTGGAAACAACCAACCACACAAAACCTTTCTTGATTACTGGTCTTGTGGTTTTACTCATGGATGCCCAACAGATTTAGTTGGAAGGTAGACTGAATGGTATTGCTCTTGGTCCTTGAAATACAATACTATGTCCAATTTCACTGCCTCACCATACAATTTCTGTAAATTAAACATTTTGGACTTGAAAGGTAGCACAGTTGTTTTCATACTTGAACCGTACAAAACTTCCCATGATTGATTTTTGGGTTGCTTTAGTTGTAGTCAGAGGGACCAGGAAGGATCTTAAATGGTTTTGTGATTCTGAGCCTTAGTTTTCTATTTAAAATTCAAAGTATATTGGAAGAGGAAAAGTCTTATCTATTTCATCTTATCTCCTCCCACCCTTCAGGATTGCTGGGGAAATATGCTCTTATCTTAGGTCTTCTTTGATAAGGATTCTTTAGTGAGCAGATAGAAACTATGTTCCATCACTCAGAATGATCCATTTTTTTCCTTTCTGGAACTAGGTGTTTTGAATGAAGCCATGGCTACAGATTCTCCTCGAAGACCCAGTCGATGTACTGGTGGAGTTGTGGTTCGTCCTCAGGCTGTCACGTAAGAACATTTCAGTTAATTTCAAATTGTTGAAGGAATGATTACTGAGATGCCTTTTTCAGGTTCCTTTTCTCAGCACTGCTTAATTTTGTGAGGGTTTTTTGTGTTTTTTTGTTTATGCTGCTGAGGTGAGCATGTATTATGAGGTCATTTACGTTTTAGCTTTACAAGATGAATAAATATTAATACCAAACCCAAATGAGAGGCAAGTTGATGTCTTTTGCACATTTATATGCATGAAAACCACAAGAATTATTTTCAAACTCCACATTTCATGAACTGTTGTTGTGTATCAAAGAGTCAGAAGCAACCCATTGCTGACCCTCTGGTGGGTTGTCAGAGACAGTTAATCATGGGAGATTTCCCATCTTTCTCCCTTGGAGAAGCTGGTGGATTCAAACCAGTTGCCTTCAGGATTACAGCACAGCTTCTTCCCATTAGACCAGCTGAGCTCCCTTTTAGTAAACTAGAGATTCATTAAATTAGTATGTCAAGATCCATATTAAAATATAAAATAAAACATAATAGAAGTTAAAACTTTTTTTAAAATTTTTATTTTATTATTTTTGTGTGTGTCTGTACCGTCAAATCAGATCCGACAGGTACAGGAGGAGATTGCCCCTCCTTTTCCGGCAGAGCATCTGATGGATTCTAACTTCATATCTCTGGGATTGCAGTACAGCTTCTTGCCATTAGTCCACTAGAGCTCCCCTAGAAGTTACAATTTTTTAACATAGAGAGATACAGTTATATATGTATGTCTGTTTACTAGGTTCTGGTGTTAAATTTTATATATATTAAAAAATATATATTTTTTTAAATTTTATTTTTATCATTTTTTTTGGTGTGTACTGTCAAATTGGATCTGACTGGTACAAAAAGAGATTGCCCCTCCTTCTCCAGCAGAGCATCTGGTTGATTTGAACCATGCACCTCCTGGATTGCAGTGCAGCTTCTTGCCACTAGGCCACCAAAACTCCATTATAAAGCAGTCATCTTTTTTAATTGGTAACTTGATGGCACATAACAACAACAACAACTCTAGGAATCAGACAAAAAGCCATCAAGAGTATATTTTGCATTTGAGACATTCTTTGACAGTATTTACATCTTTCTAGGAATGTACAATCTAATGTGATCCTAAGAGATAATACCTGAACTCTATTCAGTGAAATTCAAGAAAATCACATCTCACTCACCATATGGTATTAAAAAGATGTTACCTTTTGTTAGTTAGTGTTTGAGCTTTCATTCCTTAAACATTTTTAAAACAATTCATGAGTGTGTACTCCATGCTTAAGTATTGGCCAATAGATTTTGGAGACACAATTACTTAGGAGAGATGCATTCCTTCTTATAATGGAGTTGCATGGTAGATGAGGAAAACACTACATGAGTAAGTAAATAAATTTAGGTTTGATCAAGATACAATATGAATGACAGAATGACAGGAAAACCTCACTGAGGAGCTTAGACTTAACCTGGAGAACTGACAGGAAGGAAAAAATGGGCAGGAACTATCAACAGAAAGTTAAAAACATCTGAGTCAAAGAACTTGCTGTCTTCCAGGAACTAAGTTGACTGGGAATGAAACAAAGGAATGAGAGTAACATTTAAAAAAAATAAAAAGAGTGGCGGGTCCACCCAGTTTTTCAGGTCTCCAAAGCATCTTTTTTAAAATAAAGGCTTTAGAATACGTCACATTATCATCTTCAAATATACTTTCCCTCAACATTTTTGCTAAGCATGTGCATTTCTCCGAAATGAATTCTACTTTTTTCTGAAATGAATTTGACTTGTATTTTGAAGAAATTGGTGTTATCCCCATTTACTTAATATTTATGTATTTCCCATTTAAAATATCCTAATATACTTAATAGTACTATGTTTTTTCCTTTTCCCATAAAATATTTTAATATTTTTCTATTCCTTGTCTAGCGGGAGAAGGATGGGCAGTCTCCTTCCATGCGAGTTACTGCCTTTGAAAACCCTCTAGAGGGTCAGCCCATTATAGGTTAGTTCTGACTTGACATTACACAACAACAACAACAGCATTCTTTGTCTGTGCTAAAATTTCTATGAGGACTTTTTAATAAATCATTGTAATTCTTCTTGTACCTGCAAGAAAATACAAGTTCCTTTTGCTATATACAGGTGAGTGACTAGGTTCATAAGCAGTTTAAAGGAAAGATCACTACATACTGGGTCATCAGCTGTAGTTTTTCTTGCTCTTAGTGGAGCACTCTTCTGCTCTGACTCAAGAGAAAAGTTTTACTTGAGGCAGGTTTTCTGTCAGTATTCCTTCAGTATGAGTAAGAAGTTCCCTTTAGCAAGTTAAAAGTATGACTTTTAAGAAAAAGAGCTAATATTAACTGTTAAAAGATCATATGTCTTAATACATGATCAGTAGAATTTATAAGTAGAACTTTTTCATGGTCATTTTGAGGTCAAGATGCCCTAGTAACTGTCCTCTATTTCACCCATTTTCAGAGAACAGTCCTACATGGAAAGTGTTGTGACCTTTCTACAAGATGTGGTGCCACAGGTAAGTGTTTAATGTCTGGTGTTGGATCCACATAGGGTTTTAACCAGGGAAACTTTAAAATGCTCTAAGCTTGACACCAGTGTTACCAAACTCAAAGACTTGATTTTGTAGAGTGAAATTTACTTATTAATGTGTACCTGTGAACCTGTGCCTCACTTTTGTGCTGACAGTGGCACAGCCAAGTTCCTTATGACTTATTCTTCTCAGAGGAATTAAAGTGAGACATTAATTGAGAGATAGCCTTTGGGACTCTGTTTTTATTAGGTGCCATTGAGTCAGTTTGACTCATAGAAACCCATGAGACAGGATTTTTTGTTTTGCTTCACTCCTTATGGCAGCAGATTGCTGTGAACTACAGGGTAGGTTTGAACCACCAATTTTTTCAATTAACAACCTTAATCATTGTACCATCAAGGCTGTTTGGGATTCTCTACTTGGGTTCTATTTTCAAAACCTTTCTCTTTCCCTTGGCCTAGTTTAGTGTTGTCTGCAGGGGGAAAAGCAATATAAATTTGGCATTTTATTAATTAGCTGTTATATCTGGACACAAATCTACCTCTACTTTAATATCAAATAGTACATTTTATTTCAAACACAAAATTTTTTTTTGTACCTTCTGGATTATACTCCAATGGAAGGGTCTAGTCATTCTGTTTTTATTTATTTAAAAATTGGAGGATGCAAGCCCATTTAAAAATAGCTGCTCAGGAAATGCTGGGAAGTCTAGGATCATCTGCACAAAGAAGCATTCCAGGGAATCTGCTGTGTGATACCTGCCATTCTGTTCACATTCCCATCCTCATAACCATAAACCCCACTCCATACTTCAGTGAGGGCTGCTTCTCACTCACACTAGGAAAGACATTACCCTCAAGTTGGCAGTTAAGTGCTAAATACAAAAATTTTATTTCTTATATTTTCTAGTATAGATGATTTCCAACGTAAGTGGTCTTTTTCTGGTGCTAGAAATTAGGACTATTGTTTTGAAATTTATTTTTTTCCTTTTGAAACGAATTAGCATTGCATTTGTGTGTGTCTTCACACACAGATTTGAGGGAGAATAAAATGTGAGAAAGAAGAATGAGAGCAGCCCTACTGAGATGATCTCTAGTTCGTTAGACCTCAACATAACATAAGTATCCCTTGAAATAATTGTTAAAAGAGTAATTTTTAGGGTATTCTTCTGGATAATCTGACTTACGTTGGAGGTGGCATCTAGTAGCTTGTGTCTTTAGTAAAAGTCTCAAATGATTTTAGTGAAGTGGTTTCTCTGAGAAATAACAGTTCTAGTGGAAAGCCTCAAAGACCGATGTTTTGGGATTTTATTTTTGTTAGAGCTTAAAAAATTGATTTACGCACAGTAATTTGTGTACATTGTTTTTCATGCACATGATGATTTATATAACCTTTCACTTATATTGTTTCATACAATCATTCATATGCATTATATTTTATATAATTAGTTACTGGTAATCTGTGCCTATTAGTACCCTGTCTTTTCAAGTCCCCATTGAATCTTTCCTATCCTGCACCCTCCCCCCCATTGACCCACTAAACTCTGCTGTCCTAGTGATGTTCACACTTCCTCTTTCTCTGTCCCCTTCCCTCTATCCCTTTTGGACATTTTTACATATCTTACTAATAGTTATCCTTTTTTTCACAGTAGTGGTTTCTTTGCAGTATTTGTTCTTATGAGACTGCGTTAGTTCATTCATCATAATGGTCTCTAGATTCTAAGGGAGAGTTTATGGTATTTTTTTCTGCATAGTAGTGATGACAGTCTCTTCTGACTTAGGTGTTATCTGTAACTGCATTCTTGAAAGATGACATTCATAGTTCTAGTGCCCTTCCTTGCTTTATGAGAAGGAGCTGTAATGGCCTAGTGCGTAGGGAGGGACTCATGCTGGCAACCCAAAGGCAAGTGGTTAAAATCCATCAACTGCTTAGTGGTAGAAATATGGGCAGAGTCTTCTAATGCAGTTTATAGCCTCTGAAAACCTATTGGAAGGTCAGCTCTGAGTTGATTCCAAATTGACAGCAATGAGGTTTGTTGTTGTGGTGTTTTGTTTTTTTTTTAGCTGAAATAGTGTGTTACATTTTATGCACAGTGAAAGATGTGTGGTTCAAAGCCACCAAATGCTCTGTAAGAAAAAGATAGTTTCCTCCTGTAAAAATTTACAACCTCAGAAACTCAATGAAGGGTCACTATGAGTTTGAATTGATTTGACAGCAGTGAGCTTGGAAGAGAATGCAGGCAGTGGGTTTAGATGAGAATACAGAGCAAAGAAGTAAGAGAGTGTGCTTCCTAAGGAGGGAAGAAACTGCATTTGTTGGAATAAATGGAAAGGTTGGCTATTTAGTGTTGAAGGAAACTGGCCAGCTGGATATGGTAAGCAACAGGGCTGCTGTGTGGTAGAGTATGCTGTTCTCTATACAAAGAGTATAGTTGGGAACTCCAATCCAACTTGTTTCCCCTTTATAAACTGTTCTCTTTTAAGCCTTGGCTTTTTTGTCTTGAAGCTGCAACTCCAAGGAAGAAACATTTTAGAAATGTTAATTTTAAAAATGTTAATTTTTCTGTAAATGTTCATTAAAATTATTTAAAAAATTTTAAAATATGTTAATTTTTGAATTGTAATCTATCTGCTCCAGAGGGTTCTCTTATCAAAATTTCACAAAGATATATTTTGTCTCATAGCAGTAATCCTGTGTTGCAAGCAGTTTTTATTGGCCAGAGTAGAGGCTGTGGTCAGAGGCTTTGAGGGAGCAGTTAGAGGATTTACAAGAATACCAGTTTGAGTAATTTTTCAGGTCTGCTAAAACTAGTAAAGGCGCTTTGGTGCCTTAGCCCATAGCATGTTGTGCTGCAAATCAAAAGAGTGTATATCTCTAGTGTATTGAATCTCTCAACAGCAGCTTGAGAGAAATAAGAGACTGCTCCCTCCCATTAAGACTTACAACCTTTGAAACCAGTGGAGGGTTGCTATGAGCCAGATCAGTTTGACTGCAGTGGTTTTTGCGTTTAAAACTGATAAAAATCACTTGATACTTATTTGAGAACTGGACAATGAATAAGGATGACATAAGAAGTCAGGATGCCTTTGAGTTGTGGAGAAAAGTGCTACGTATCCCATAGACTGCCAAAAGAATGAACAGATATGTCCTGGAAGGTGCATCCAGAGTGCTCTTGGAGGCAAAGGTACTTTGTCTCTTAAATTTTGGACATGCTACTAGGAGAGGCTTTTCCTTGTAGAGGGATGTCAGTGAAAAAGAGAGACAGACCCCAATGAGATGAATTGACTCTGTGACTGCAGCAATGGGCTCCAGTATGTCAAAGATGATGAAGATGTCACAGAATAGGACAGGGTTCAGATCTGTTCATAGGTTTGCTGTGAGTGGTAATCTACTGGATGGCACCTAACAAGAACAGCAACGTGAGTCAGAACTGGTTTGTGTTTGGTCCCTTGTATGCAAATTAGTCTTTACTGTTCCTTCAGAGGAAGGAAAGTGAAATTCAGTTGGGACACCAAAGAAAGCTTTGTGAAAGAGGATCAGTTGAAACATGATGCAGTGCAGGATAAACCTCAAGGTTGTGACTAATCTGCATGTCAGGTTGAAGTATCTTACTGATTAAGAGTGCTGACTTGTTACTAGATTTAGTTTTATATTCCAGGTTTACATATTGGTAGATTTGGAAGAATTACTGAGTTTTTCTAAATAATATTCTCTTCTGTAAAATAGGATAATCATCATATTCATCCTGATCTGTTTTGAGGCTTAAAGAATATCTTTATGATTGTTGTTGTTGTTATGTGCCGTCGAGTCGTTTGCGACTCATAGTGACCCTATGTACAACAGCCCTAAACCCTGCTCTATCCTGTGCCAGTCGCACTGCCTCTGACACACCCATCCCGATTACCCCAGTCACTGAATCAATCCATCTCATAGAGGGTCTTCCTCCTCTTGCGC